GTGGAACTGCTGCCTGGGGCTTCTGTTCCTTCTCCCCAGCTTGCAAAGACCCTGACATCTGCTGAGACTCCAAATCTGCCCTGAGCTTGGGGAGGTGCTACCGGGAGGTGCTACCGGGCTATACTTTCAGATGGCATTGAAAGTACCAGAGATCTCTTGGTTATGTGAGACGGGGTCACATTTCCGGAACTTATAACTGCACCCACCCAGACTGGTCAAGTCTGAGGTTCTATAACTGATGTATTCTTGCAGATGACAAGTAGAACCATCCCTAGAGTTAGGTGTACCTGTCCACACTAGTTAACCTGCCTGTTCCCTTTAATATATGCTTAGGAACGAAAGCCCAATACAGTCTTAGACATCTCTTAGAACATTATAATTGCATACTATCATTTTTTTATCAGAACAAACTAGGTACAGTTACATTTTGTCATTTCTGATTCTATAGAGCCATTACTGAGTCACTGAACTACTGTATATAGTGTTAAAATTAACAATTGATTATATATTATAGCAGGCTATAAATTCTTTAAAATACAGTGTTTAGGAGTCTTTTTTATGGGCTGAGCCACTTTCGTTTTAGTATAGTTAAATGCCTCATCAAAGGTGATTATTAATTATATTTAACTTGGTTTCCCCATAAGACTCAGTTTAGGTGAAAATGAGTGAATATTCTTTGAAAAGTAACAATTTGATTTTGAGAAGTATGTGTTTGTGTCTTAGAGGCTGTTTATGTGTTCTAGTCCCTTTCTTCCCCCTTCGAAGATCTTGAATCTTTCTTTGGGTTAAATGTGTTTCTTTCGAGAATTGTTTTGGGAAATACTGATTCATATATATCATATATATGGATGTGTTTATCTTTATTATTTAAAAATGCTTTTTGTTAGATGTTAAGAAGCAACAACTTTAACTCAAATCTAATTTGTTCTTGTACAGAACTGTTAATGTTTCAAAGGTCTTTTCACATACTAGATGTTTCTGAATTAGAAATTCACATAATAATGAATTCAGCTTATTTTGGTTTTCCACAAAGGTTTGTTGTCTGAGCTTAAAATAAGACTGCGGCTGATTCGTATGGCACATATTAACTGTTTATTTGGTTGAAGTCCACGTGTGTATCTCCCATTTCTGATCACCTGGAACATTTGCATGCTGCGGAGCAACCTTACCTTCTATACTTTATTAGATATCCGTCAATTATAAATATCAAGGTTTCACATTAATGTCAAGATAGTGCATCAAAAATTCATGGAATATGTGGCTTTTTCCAAGGGTATTTAATACTTAATGCATTTGTGTCATTTTTCTTTCCAGAGATATTGACAGGTTTTATTAAGTGTTTGTTAGGGAGATTTCATTTTTATCAAGGGACTATAAAGAGAAGCTGCATGCTAAATCAATTTTTTAAAGCCAGAATATTGTTCATTTTTTCATCTTCAAACTCTTGTAATCCATAGGTTTTATGTAAATTTCTTCTTGGTTTATTTTTGTTTTATGTGAGTGATAGTTCAAGACAGAACTTTAATAAGGATCAAATATGCTGACTGCAGTGGTTTTTAATTTCCTTAAGCATAGCTACCAGACCCACACAGTATGGTAAATTCTTCAAAATGTCATACTTACATATTTAGCAATATTACTTCTTTTTATTGAAGCCAAACAAATGATTTTAGATATTAATCTTTCCCAAACATAGTGATTATTTTGTACTAGGTGCAATATTACTGTGCCTCGTCTAGGGTCCGTCCTAGAGAAGGGCATGGAGGAGGGCTTCATGGGGGCGCCTGGCTTGGCATAGAGGATGGATCCTTTTCAAAGTAAGCTCTTTAGGGCCTCAAGTCTGATTGTGAGCTATGGCAATTGTTCATTTCTCCAAGTACAAATATTTATAATGCTCAAGAGAGTGAAAATACCAGTCACTTAAAAAATCTGCAGAAAATCTGTGGCAATATTCTCACCCTGTATGCGAGGGCTGGAAGGTGGGGAGGGAGGGAGGGCTTTGGCAGACCCCAAGACCCCATGGACTCCCCTTCACTGGAGCCTCTGACAGCCGGGCAGACACCCTCTACACCCAACCCCTGTGCATCATAGTTGTTCAGCTAACTGGCCACAAAGAGTAAGTTTTCTGTTTTAGTTTACATTTTTAGTTTTGGAGTACAGGTCTTGTGTTGGAGAATGCATGTCACGATAAACAAAGCCCTCACAGGACTTGGCTCTAGAAAGTGAGGAATATTCCGTTGTTCTCCCTTTTGAAGTATGAACTTAAGGACTTTGATCTATGAACATTTTAGGAACTTGCAGGTAACTTCAGGTTAAGATTACCGTTTTTACAAGGCATCTTTTAAACCTTGGTCTTCCACAGGGGAAAGGCGTGGTCTGTAACAAAAAAATTACTCTGTCCAGTGTTTTTAAAAAATGACTGTCCAGAGCTTCAACAAAGTGTTCTTGGAATAGACATTTTCTTATTCTTGCTCATTTTTTCAGGATATGTGAAAATACTTCTTTTCAGAGCTAAATGTTTTTCACGTGCAAATCATTTCCATATTTTGAATGTTTCAGGATCCTTGTAAAACGATTATAGAAATAGTTTTAAGAGGTAGGGTAGGTTTTTTTGGAAACAGGTTTGCTTGAGTAAATCTGAAGCATAGACATTCTAGATGAACCCAGTTTTGGTTTCCGAGGAGTTGCTATGAAGACCTTGCCTTGGTGTGACTGTCACCTGTCTACCCTGACACCAGTAGGTGGCGGTAGTGTCACAGCGAAGTGGAAGTGATCTGCCTTTCTCCCAACTGTCACATTCTGCTTCGGTAGAACTGCTACATGCCTGCGTCTGTGGCGGGATAGCTTTTCATACCCGAATTATGTGCAGTGGGCGCACCATTGTTTTTTGTTTGTTTGTTTTTTATGGAGATACCAACTATTTCTAACAGATTCCGCAGATATTACATAACCCTACAGCCAAAATAACCTTAACCTGGAAAAAGCATTTGCACATTTCTTCTTGAGTTTTCTTTACAACTTCATCAGGACCATGAGCATGAATTTATATTTTCGGTGAGAAATGGATACAAATAGTAGGAAGGGAAACATTTTGGAGAGTGAATGTTTTATCTTTTTCGTCCCCGAGGAGGTCGCTGTCACTGAATGGTTTCTGTGTGATCCAGAACTATTTAAAGATCTTCGAGTGTTGGAAAGCTCTTTTTCAAGTCATTTTGACATCCAAGCATTCCAATTTTGAGCAACAATGCTTTCCCACTTCCTGGAGTTTGGAAAGAGGCGGGCTGAGCCATGCACGGGAAGCTCTATTTCGTCGTAAGCAAAAGGGCATTTTAGTAATGGAATTTCTGAGGGTTTTCTGTGGTACTTTTAATCATCAAATTTGTTTTGGGTAGAGGGACAGTTCTTATCTGCTGAATTTGTACTTGCATAAGGAAATGCCTGAACACTGTTGTGGTTAGGTTTTATAATTCAGTGGAAAGCATCTTCAGGATTCTTAGGACATGGCTGTGCCTTTTGTATGTTACAAAGAGGGGGCAGTAAGAAGCTGTCGGCCGCCGGATTCTCCCATGTTAGCTATGGCTGACCATGGCATCGAGTTTTTTTCCTTTTAATCCCAAAGATAGACTTTCCTGATATTCCTATTGCACCTAGAAAATGCCCAGGGCACCATGTTGTTTATGTATTGACTTAATAATGTTTTCTTTCATTTCATTTTTATTATCACAACATTAAAAAATTACGTGAATATAATTTTATGTGTTGACTTTCCTTCCAAAGGGTTAAAACTGGGCTAAGGATTAGAGGGGAGCAGTGGGCACCTGGGAGCTAACACCCAATTGGCAGCCTTTTGTAATCTATAATTTGCCTAAAATTGCGCACTGAGCGCAAGCTTTTGTTTTCTAATTGATTTACGGTTTGAGCCACTTTTACCTCATCCCCTACTGTCCTGCATACGGTGCCAGCGAGTACATTACAGTGAGCGATGATAAATTACTGTGCACTTGTGATGCTAATGCGTCAAGAGTAAAACTGTGTGCTACATGGAGCTTCATGCATTAACAGTGGTGCAGACGCAGAACAGCAGAATTTCATTTGTATCTCAGAAATCGCCATTTGTTCATTTGATCACTTACTGCAATCTGTCTATCAGACTGTAATTGAAACTGAAGATTAAAATGATACTGTTACAGCTTTTAATTCCTTAATTGAGACAAAGTTTTTAAGTGCTTGAGAGGTTGGGGGTGTGGGGGATTGTTGTGAAGGGAGAATATGAAATGGATAAGATTTTCTCCTAAGTGTGAAGTTTTGGATATTTTCACCAAATGTTCTTGTGTCCAGAAAAATAAGTAGTAGAATTTAAACACGCTGAATTCTCTCTTTTTAAAATCTGTTTATAAATCTTATCATGTAATTTTACAAAACTATTTTTTCTGATTTTTCTCTCCTGGAGCCACATTTACCATGTAGACGATTCATTTGCACATAACACGTTGATTCCCATCCAGATGATTTGAGTCGGAGATAAATGAAAGGACTTTCCATTTATTAGAGTGCCTTAATTGTCCCTTTTATTGATAAGAGAAGAGATGTGAAATCCAGGCATAAGGGCCTTCGCAGCACATTATGGCAGAAGACACAAAGGAAGTCCGTTGGGATGGACGCAGGACTTTGGGGGCTCAGGTTTCTGTGGAGTGGGCGTGCCTACCTTTTGTGAAGTCAGTCCACCTTAAGTTTTATTTTTGTGCCGTGTCCATGCGTCCTAGTATCGAAAGAGGAAGAAGCAGATTTATGGCGGCTGCTGGGCACAACAAATTAAGTTGACAGTGATGTATGAGAGCATAATAGCATGATGATCCCTCGGCAGCGCGGCTGGACGCCTCCTGCTTCATTTGGCTCTTGTTAGGATCTGTTAGGCAGCTAAATAATGAAATTCTGCTGACTGATTTCTGTTTTCCCTTTTTCTCTCTTCACCTCTGCTTTTTAAAACTTCTAATTCCCAGACCCATCCGCACGCCAACAAGCTGCCCTTGAAGGATTCTTTCACTTACGAGGACTACAGGTTGGTGTGTGGGGGGGAGGGTGTGTGTTGAGTGTGTGCTGAGGGCTGCTTTCCCAGTGAGTCTGGGATCTTGGAAGTGAGAAATGCTTCAGTAGGAAGTGACCTGTGTGGCCATTTAAACCTCAAGACAGAGACAGTCTTTCAGAAGTTTTAATGGGCAGCTGGCAGAGATGTCAGCATTTTAATAGTCATGTAGAAATTGCCATTGACCTGTAGGGGTGGGGATTAGATGAGGCAGCTAAGTGATACTGGAGATTAACATTAGTGTGGAGTAGTCAGGAGGATTTTTACCTTTTTTAAAAGACTGTTTTAGTGTAAGGTGGGACTTCATTTCGAACAAAAGATTTCATTTACGGCACGGTTTAGTAAAAATAGCCTCCACATTTTGTAGAGTTCTTAAAGGATTTCTGGTCAGAAAAGAGTTATATTGTTTGCTTTTCACTGAGGCTTAAAATGGGTGCAGAGTCAGCATTGAGTAAAAGAGGGTGGGGTTGGCATGGGGGGGTCTTCGAGGCAGTGAAGACCCAGGGAGGCCAGGAGAGCTCTGTGAGGACCTTCCTTCCAGGCCTCTCACTTCTCCGGAACATTCTCCCTTAGTCGCTCACTCCTGAATTCCCTGTGGCTCCTCCCACCTCCCCCTTCCTCCTCTCAACCCTAGATTTAATTGTAAATGATGATGAGGAAGCCCACCCATCGCCTTTGGTACTTAGGAAAGGTTTTGAACGTATGTGAGCAGGTGGACAAATCTCAGCTTCTGGTCAGGTCACGACCGCAGTTCACCTCTTTCCTGGTTGTTACAGGTGGGCAGTCTCTTCTGTGATGACACGGCAGAACCAGATTCCGACGGAGGACGGTTCCCGGGTGACCCTGGCGCTGATTCCTCTATGGGACATGTGCAATCACACCAACGGCCTGGTAACAACCTCCTCTGCTTGTGCTGAACTGGGGAAGCTGTGTGGTTAGACTTGAAAGTGGACATTCCACCTACAAACCATTTCTCCCCGTTGCCTCCTCCGGAGGGAACAAACACCCCTCCCACCGCCCACAGACAGAGGCTGGTATTTTGCTCTCCTTGTATTTACTTAATCCCGAATGGGAATTTGAATCTTACATCACATTTGAAAACCACAGTAACCTGCATGTATTTGCAAAGCCATAATTTCGGCTTAAACATTCATTTTCTTATCTTATTGAACCACAGACTAAACCAAGTTTCTTTTTTTTCTTACTCTTTTTAAAATACTCATTTATTGAAAAAAAAACTTTCTTTTAAGTTCTTGGTTTTCTTCCTTTGCTGACTGTATTCCAGTTGTGTAGGTTCTGTGATCCTCCCTGTCCCTTCCCTTCCCCTGACAAGCTGACACATCCTTGGCCCCTTTTATTAACCAGCTTTTGTTCGGGAGCCAGCGCTGGGCTCCTGGTGCCGGGGCTGGAGGGGGCATTTGAGCATTGGCCTTGACTGCTGGACTCAGTTGGCATCTCAGACTGGGAAGCGCTGGGGAGGAGACGTGAAGAGAGCGGGGACATTTCATGATGACTGTTAATTACGATGCACAAAAGGAGGGAGCAGCGCTCTGCTTCTGCGCATTCTTTGGATTCTAAGTAGCAGCAGGGTTGACGGCTGGCTCTGCTGAGATGGTTGTCGAAGAAAGATTTTCTGATATTAATTAGTCCCATCAAAATAAGAGCAACTTCAGAATATTTTGAATTTATAAGCATTATACTGCTGTCCTGGTTTGGTAATTTTTTGTCCATCTTTTTTCAATGTCATCTTTGTTATTATTAGCAGTATTATAAATAGACTGGGAAAATGCTGTAAATGAGCCTTTCACATCTAATTCCGCGGAGTGGTCAGCGCATGGGTAAAGTGTGCCCTCCTGCTGACCTGGGAAGGTCTGGCAACAAGTACATGCTGAAATCAGAGAAGGAGTAGTCCCACCTTGACACTATACTTTTGCCTTCATTTAGATATGCTTAATTTAATTAGACATTTTTAGGAACAGTAGCGTATTTTATTTATTTTCGTTAATGAAGAAAATTTTACATTCTTTGTTTTTTTTCCCTTCAGAGCTGTTTTAAACTGATCATAAGATTGAAGTTTAAAATTCTTTCAAATAGCTTTTAATATTGTGCTATAGTATTTTTCTTTTTCCTTTTTTTGGATTAGTGCATTGGTTCCCATACTTGATCATTACTGTTTTTTGTTTTATGTCTAAAATTTAAAAAGCGCGTACTTTATTGTAAACACGCAAAACCAGTTCAGCAATCCAGAAGCCTGTGCAGAGTCCCTTCCCAGCAGCCCCGCCCAGCTGCCCCGCCCAGCTGCAGGGCCCCAGGTGCCTCCCAGGTCACTGACGAGGGCGCCCTGCACCTCCGGCCTCTGCTGGGCGCGCGAGCCCTCACTCCCACACACTGGTTTTTGTGTTGCTTTCATGTAAATGGGATTAAACTATTCACTTTTCCTCTAAAAGTAAAGAAAAAGTTAGTGTGCCACAAAACAAAAATAATGAGTTGATGACAGCTATTCACGCTGTATTTCTCCTGGTACTATTCATACCGTCTTTAACGCCCCGCGGTGCTGGCAAAATGCTGCAACCTTCGGAAGGTTTGCACACGATGGTCCTGCTGGCTGCCCCTGCCCCTGGAGCGCTTCCCGCTGCATTGTAGGGCTTCGCGGGCAGTTTCGTCTGGTAGAATTTAAGAATCTAGTTTAACACCACAAAATTGTGTATGATATGTATTAGCAGTTAATCTCTTCTTAAAAATAAAGTGCTTGAAGTTAAGGCTGGCTTTTCAGACAGTAGATTTTCTTTTGTGTGTGTGTGGATCCTGACAGTTGGCGTCTGTCTGTTCTGACTGTCACTGAGGGAGTAGATAGAAATTTGTAACCCAGCAACACTGTGTGCTTCCAACAACATCCCAAACCTGCTTGTGGGAGTCAGGGAAGGATTGAGTCTGTGCCAGGAAGGAGCACAGGAAGCAGGAGGAGACGAAGGCTGGACGAAGACCTCAGCAGAGGCTCTGGCCACGCGCAGAGACAAAGTCAGCAAGCTTGTGAGACTTGGTATTAAGCTGTACGAACTAACATGTCTCTAAGTTCTGTGTGGCTTGTTCAGAATTCACGTAAGCCGCTGGATTCCTCTCTGGAAGTAGTTGAATTTACACAGAGAAGCACACTCCTAAGTGGTGTGTAGGCCACTCTGTCAGCTCCAGGAGGGACAGCGTTGGAACAGTCGGCCCTGATGTCTGAACATGTGACTGCAGTCAGGGTGGAGGAGCCTTGGGAAATTCATGCAGGATCGAGGGAGGCTCTTTTCAAGGTCTCCCTGTTTGAGTATTGAAAAATATAAAACATGTAGATTCACATAAGTCTTCAGTCTCACAGTAAAAGCCCAGGTTTTTCTAGTAGCAGACAAAGCACCCCGCCCCACCTGTCCCCACTACACCCTAATATACACAGTCCTGGCCACCAGCAAACCAGCCCACACCCACCTCAGGGCCTTTGCACTTGCTGTTCCCACTGCCTGAACCACTGTCCCTGGGATGTCTACAGGACTTCTCACAGACCCCAAGTGAGGCCATACTGAGCGCCCTGCACAGAATCTTCACACCTCTCCTTCCATAGCCTCCCTTCCTGTTCTGTTGTCTGTCTCCTGTGTTTCTTCCTGTTTGTTTTTATGTATTGTTAGCCTTCCCCACTGCCTTGCTCCCCTTCCCTTGCCCCGTCTGCTTCCCCTCGCTTTCCTGTCTGTTCATGTCCTGTGACATCCCTGTGTGACCACACTAGAGTTCCAGACTTTCAGGGCTGGAGTTGATGGGCAGTTCCTATTTCACACCTTATTATCAAGATCATGTTTGGGGTCAGAAATGTGATTTTGATGTTGGGCAGCAACTTCATGGAGCTCTCCTGCCAGACTACCTGGCTTCAGTTATTTCTCATCACTTGAGTATTTCTTGTTGGTCTTGCAGAAGTGTGAAGGATTTCTAGATACGTGATTCAAGTAACATTGCTTCCAGGGATGTGGGGTTTCCGGGTTGTGTCGCATGGCCTCCAGTCCCAGAGTGCTGTTCCCTAGACTCAAAGTATTTATATTTTGGACCCAAACTGTTGGTACCTTTATTAGCAAGTAGCACTTGTTGGTCTTGAATTTTGATTCTCTAGGGCAAAATGAGGAGGTCAAAAGTAATTAATGAGCCTTTGCAGACAGTCTAAGAGATTGGGGGTAGGGGAGGGACAGACTCCTGGGAAGCCCTGTTTTTTCCCCTGGGGTTCGTGCATCAAGTATGTATTAAAGGCATGTCAGGCATTGGGTGCAGCGTGCTGAGCACCCGGACACAGGTGAAGGCGAGCTCCCACTCCGCCTGGCGGGGAGGCACACAGGTAAATCACCTGGTGTGTGGCAGGGGCTGGGATGGGGCTCAGGAGGACCAGGAGTAGAGGGTAGTTCCCGGCACAAGGGAGGCAGGCCAGTGGCATGTAGGAGGCCAAAGGGAGGCCTGGACCTTCTCATCAGCTGGCTTTGCTCCGGAGTTTGGATGGTTTTCTGCAGCAGAGTGGGGCTCACTGGAAGGCTTTAGACTGGACGGTGATGCTGTGATGTCGCTCGGGCTGCAGGAGGACAGGCCTGGAATTGAGGCCAGTTGGAAGGTTTTGTGAGTAGTAAGTAAGGTAGGAGGGAAAGAACCAGCCCTCAGTCATGGAACTGACCGGGAGGAAACAGTCCAAGGATAATTTAGACAATAAAATGCAAAAATGCTGGCCTGGCCGGCCAGCTGAGGTGCAAAGAGTTCTTTGTGACTTAAGTGCCACGACCTTGATGTTGCCTGCCACGCACCCCACCCCCAGGCAGCAGCGGTTAGGGGAGATCAGGTTGTCCGTAGGTATTTGTAATGGGTTTAGAGCTCTCCCGGTTGTGCCTCAGCGAGAGAAAGTGAAGATGGCACCACTAAGTTACCTCTGTGCTTATCTGAACGCTTTAATTGCTTTAATTTCAGAGTAAAGTATGCACATAACTTAGAAATAGAGCTTTTCCCTGATTTTTTTCTCTAAGGAGAATCCACTTCAGTTTCTTAAATGCCAAACATCAGACAGAGACAGCGTTTGCAAGTCAGTGGGGTTCTCTGGAGGCCCCGGCTCCACAGCATCGCCCAGGGCAGGGCTCAAAGGCAGCACCTTTGTGATGAACGGTTTGTTTGGTTGAGACCAGTGTAAGTGATCATCTATACAGTGTATTTTCCCAAGAGTCCGTCCTTCAGGTACAGAATCTTCCGTAAGAGTTTCTGGTGTAAATAGTGTTAATTAAAATAACTAAGCAGTTCTCTGCTCAGTTTCGTAAAGCATGCACGGTGCACCCTTTTAAGTGCCTGGTAAGGACCCTCCTGAGACCCTCGTTGTTTCCCCCAGATCACCACTGGGTACAACCTGGAGGATGACCGCTGTGAGTGTGTGGCTCTGCAGGACTTCCGGGCCGGAGAGCAGGTAGGTCCTCGTGCCTGCCGGAGTGCGGGCGGGCCAGTGGGCACTGAGTTCAGGCTGTGTTGGGCAGAAAACTTGGGGACTTGAATTCTGACGGCATCACGTGAAATGCTTACTGCAGAAGAGAGACTGGTACTGAAAGGAGAGGAGGAGCGCGGCGGGTACGGAGGGCGGCGGTGCAGTCGTAGCCGTGCTTCCCCAGAGGGCGGGTGCCAGGGCCCCTGCGCGATGCCCCCCGCCGCTCGGAAGTTGGGGAGCTTGCATGCCTTGCTGCAACCTCGCCCTAGCCACACGCGGTGTGCAGAATCAGAGGGACAGCGTCCCTGTAGAGCTGCCTTGTTGCCTTAGTGTAAAGTCTATTACGCGTATGAGAACTGATCCTTTGCCCTGCTCTGTGTTAAGAATGGATGTTAAGTTTCTTTTATGTCCCTTTATTTTTTCTTTACTGCATCTCAGATTTACATTTTTTATGGCACTCGGTCAAATGCAGAGTTTGTGATCCACAGTGGTTTTTTCTTTGACAATAATTCACACGACAGAGTGAAAATAAAGCTTGGAGTGAGTAAAAGTGACAGGCTCTACGCGATGAAGGCTGAGGTCTTGGCCCGCGCTGGCATCCCCACGTACGTAGAAACCAGTGGGCAGCTCTGCCCCGTGCTGCTCGAAATATTTCCAGTTGTATAACGTTTAGTTGGTGTGCTAACAAAAACTTCTCTGCAGTAGCTTGTCTTAATCCCTTTATCCCTGTGACAGCGAGTTTAAACCATGGAGCTGCCTGGTGGTTTACCAGCGTTCTCGGATAAACAGAACTGTGTCGCTGGGAGTGTTCACAGGCAGCTCTAGGGGATATGGCCTGAAATCCTCATGCAGCTAAATAGCTGCTTTGGTATCATTAATGTCTTTCACCTTGAAAACGTTAATGACCTGGATCAATTTGTTTCATTTAATTCTTTGCCACCATTAGTTTCTTTAATGAAGTCGTGATCCTCAGTGATTTCAAGAATTTCTGGTTAAATTCTTTAAGATTTTAGTGCATTTGAGGTGCAAAATGATAAAGAAGACAAGAATTATGATGTATGAGTTCTGCAGGGAACAGAGGAACCCTTCTTAATGAAAATGGATTACCCAGGCCTTTTTTTATTGAACTTGTCAATATTTGATTAATGATTAAAATGTGAACTCAACATAAATTATTGCTAACATTTTTTAAGAACCACGGGTTTGCTTAATTCTCTTAGTGTGTTAAATGCAGCCTGAGGTTACGGCTCTTAGACTGTAAGAACTGCTGGCGGAGGCGGCCACTGCCGTCCTCAGCGGGCAGCCGGGCCTTCCGCCTGGGCGGGGCGCGCTCATAGTTGACACGAGGAGCTGGACCGACTCCTGCCGCTGCTCCTTGCTCCTTGCGGATGGCCACATGGATTGCAGCTTGAGGGGTTTCGCTAGGAGCCAGTGGGCGGCTGCAGCAGGGTGACCGATCTTCTTCCCGTTTGCAGTTCCAGCGTGTTTGCCCTGCACTTTGCGGAGCCGCCCATCTCTGCCCAGCTGCTGGCTTTTCTCCGCGTGTTCTGCATGACCGAAGGTAAATCGTGTCAGCAAGAAAATGTGCACTTTTTAAAAAATTCATGAAAATATGAAGCATTGGGGTTCAGATTAAAGATAAAATTGCTGAAAACTAAAGTACCTTTTGGCTGGAGGTAAGAGGGCAGGAATGGAGAAGATGTCGTACTGTTGTACTCGGGAAATGTTTTATTAACTCCTCAATGTGTTGTCAGTATTCATTTGTCATAAACAGTTCTCAACTGCATTGGAAGAAAACTTCAAACGGTTTCGGATTGTCTCGCTGTATTGAAATTTCACATTTGGAGGTGGGAGTTTTTGATATGCTTCTGGCCCGAAACAGACAGCCCAGTGTCACCGACAGTGTACTGATCTCTGACACGCTGCGCAGTCAGTGATGAGGCGCCGCTGCGTCACGTGGTCGGCAGTGGCCGACTGGCGTCGGGCTTCATTGAGTCTGTTCTGAGTCTGAAATCGCCAGCGGCCTTTGCATGCCGGCTGCCGGTGAGAGTGAAGGATGCTGGCACAGTCTGCTTCCCTCGCCAGTGCTCTTGCCTCCAGCCTCTTTCCAGGCACAGAAAGAGTTAAATACATGTGCTCCATGTTTGCCTAAGACGAGTCATTTGGGGTTTCTTACTGAGATTGGTCCCATTGTGCTGGCCTCTCACTTTCCATCTGAAACTGCTGCGCATGCCCTGGCTCCGAGGCTTCGTTTTCAGTTGTGTGTGTGTCGCTGTCGTTAACTCCCTTAAACCCTGTCTGCGCTGAACAGAGCGGGGCGGAGGGCGGAGGGAGCACGGAGCAAGCGAGCGGCCGCCTACTTGAATGGACAGGTGTTCCGAAGACAGCTACCCCAGCACTAAGGACGGCATTTGAGCTGTGACAGTAGACCATGGCCCGCAGAGGGGACCGCTGGGCTCTGCTGTCCCCAGCTCCCCAACTTCATGCCTGGATCCAGCAGGGGTGCTGCCCAGGTCCAGGGCCTTCATCAGGAGGGAGGTAGAGGACACGTGTCCCTCACGAGCAGCCCCGTTGTTGTAGCCTCACCATCACTCAAGTGCGAGCTTTTGGTGACTTCGTACTTTGGGAGGGGTTCAGCACATCAGTTCCATGGAACGAGTGTGAGTTAGGGTTGACTGTGGGCTATTCTTACATCTAACAGGTACAAAGTTGAATGTCACAGCTCACATGCTGAAGGAATTTATAGTGACGAGGCGACAGCGATGGTGGCCGTATGATGTGTGAGCGCCCACTGTGTGCCCGCACCTGTACTGCGCATGTGATGTTAGCCACTGTCAGCCTGGTGCGAGAGCGGTGTCCACGTGGCTGATGCAGAAATGCCAGTTCATGTAGGATGAGGAGCTTGGCCACTCTGCCAGCAGGCGATGGCCCTGACTTGGAACGCAGCTCTGCCCATTCCAGAGCCTGCGCCCCAGGCACCCCAGGTGGCTGCTGCTGGTTGGCAGATGAGACCTTAGTAGCCGAGGTCTGGAGGAGGAGCCAGGCTGAGGAGCTAGGGCCCTGCCGCTCTGGGTGACCAGATGCTCATTCCCACAGTGGTTGGGTGGAGCTGAGGAGCCCCTGTGAGGACAGGGTGGCTCCGGGGCGTTAGCAGAGGAAGGCAGGGGGGGCAGCCACTGCAGGAGCCTTGCTTTCCTTTCCCGGGTGTCCCAGACCCAGGTGTCTCCAGGTGACCCAGTCTCCTCCTTGTGTGGGTTTGATCTCTCCAGCAACGTGGAGTGAGCCAGTTTCCCTGTGGGAAAGGGGCAGAGAGGACTGCCCCTGCCTGTAGCTCGGCAGCGGGGGAGGTGCGAAGCGGGCAGGAGCCTCGGCCCTGGGGTTGCCGGGAACACCCTCCGCCACGGAGGGGCATTCCACATGCCGTCACTGCATACGGAAGGTATAAACGGAAGGACCAAAAACCTGGAAGATCCTGACTCTTACCACCGTCTCTGAACTAAGGCAACTTAATGGATTTCTTTTTTGAACATTAGATTAACTTCCATTTTGTTTAAAAAGAAAAACTACTGGAATCATTTTAGATCTGCGGTTGATTTTTTCATTTTTCATTAGTCATAGACGGTTTGTCATGTCAAGACAATTGATGTATCCTTTGAATTACTCTAATACTGGTAAAAGTTTGGTTTGCTGGCAACAGAAGTTCTTGCATCTGAATTGTAAATAGTGACAGCTGTGGGGCATTTCGCTCTGAAAGAGATACTGTCTCATAATTACATAAGAGCCCGGATTCTTGCGCGTGAATAGGACGGCATGTTTTGGGCTTTTGAAGATAATGTGCCAAGAGATAAGCTGCTCTGAGCAGTTGCCGAGTCCTTCCCTCTTCTTCAATATAGTGGAAGGTAATTGAAATGTTCACTGTGTTTATTTGTAATTGCTGCTTAAACTCCTGACAAGTGAGGGACATTGCAGGTTTTTCATTAACCAGGTTTTTCTGGTCCATTTTCTTGTTTTTCTCAGTGTGTGGTTTACTTGCTGTAAGATGGGATAAATGGCTTGGTCAGGTCAGCTGCTGGAACAGCCCCGATCGGACTTAAATGTAGAAGGCCCGCCACTGTGTTCGGCTGTGGTTTGTGTTTACTCTTCACAGTGTTCACCTAAATGTCTTTCTGACCCAGTTGGTGTGACAGAGCTCATGGCTTGTAGGAAGGGTGTTGTCAAAATGCCTCTATAGATTGTCTTTAAAGAATTGTCTTATGAAACTGACCAAAGGTTCTCAGTGTCCCTCAAAAAAACCATGAAAAATGGAGGCTTCATGTGGATTCCAACTCAGGAAGCTCACTTGGTTTTCCTGCCCGAAGCTTAGCTCTCACTCACTCTGGAGAGTGTAGAAATGGCCTGTCTGGATGAGCCGCAGAAAAGTGACGTTGTTGGAGAAGCTGTTTTATAAGGTGGGTTGCTTGTTAAAATGAGAAAGAGTGCTGTTCCCCTAACAGATGGTTGTTTGTACTTCTTGTAGACGAGCTGAAGGCACATCTGCTAGGAGATAATGCTATCGACAGAGTCTTCACCTTGGGTAACTCTGAGTATCCTGTGAGCTGGGACAATGAGGTCAAACTTTGGACATTTCTTGAAGATCGAGCCTCGCTTCTTTTAAAAACATATAAGACAACTAGCGAGGTAACTTGATTGAATGAGGATTTGAGTTCTGTCATATTTTAAAAGATGCTTAATAAGAGATTTCTCCCCACAATGTAAATCACTGCAACTCTTTTTTCTATTTAACATGTTTACACTTACCGAAAGGATCATATTGAGGCATGCATCATTGATTAAAAGATAAATGTTTACATTATTTGATACTTCTCTATAATTTCTAATTGATACAGTACAACAGATAGAAGCTTTTATCCCTGCTTTCAGGGTTGGCCATCGAGTCACTAACTTGAAGTACTTCTCATTCATCATTCATTCATTCATTCATTCAGCCATTCAGCCATTCAGCCCAGGCTGAGCCCTGGGCCTGTGAGTCTCTGTCAGGTGGTTAAAGCACCATTTGATTCAGGATCTTCTTTTTGTTTTATGATCGGTTCACTGAGGCATAGTTTACACACAGCACATTCACACCGCTCAAGTGTCATCATGATGTAACTACACAGTCATGCAGCCACCTCCACAGTCCAGTTCTAGAGCCTCATGTCACCCCCAAAGGCCCCTCACGACCCGCCTCCAGGAACAGCTGATCTGCCTTCTGTTTCTGCCGATTTAAAACTTCTTGTGATTAATTTTGCTCTTTTTTATTTTCTAGGAAGACAAGTCCTTCTTGAAAAGCCAGGACCTTTCTGTTCGAGCAAGAATGGCCATCAAGTTGCGTTTGGGTGAAAAAGAGATTTTGGAAAAAGCAGTGAAGAGCGCGGCTGCGAACCGCGAGTATTACCGCAGGCGAATGGAGGAAGGGGCTCCGCTGCCCAAGCACGAGGAGAGTGACCCCGGGCTGCTGGAGGGCGGCGGGGCGGACTCACGGCTGCCCCTGGTCCTGCGGAGCCTGGAGGAGGCCGGCGTGCAGGAGGCCCTCGCCCTCTCCGAGGTCGTCAGCCGTGCGAAGGCGGCGGAGAACGGGCTTGTCAACGGCCAAAACTCTATCCCCAACGGGACCAGGTTAGCAAAGGAGAGTTTAGATGAAGAGGAAAGGGAAAGAGCGACTGCAGACGCCAGAGAACCTCCCTCGGAGAGCGCTGGGGAGGCCGCAGAGCCCCTCTGAGGGCGCGGCCGCCTGGGGTCCGCTCAGCAAGTTCATGAGCACGTCACTTACAGCTGCAGCTCCTGTTTCACGTTTTGTTTTTGTTTTTGTTTTTTTTCTGCAGAGAGGAAAGTGTTTTTGCTGCTTTATATAAAAATAATTTTTTTTAAGTTATTTAAAAAAATCTAGCTTCCCTTTTTGATTAAGATTGCCATCTTGCTTTTAGGCAAAACAAACAAGTTATCAAACCCTGGCAGCAAAGGGGGAAGGGGCGGCGCCATGGAAGGTGTGGCCGGCAGACCAGTGTGGGCAGTGCTTGCGTCCTGGGGAGGGTCCAGCTCCTCCCTAGGGGCCTGTCTTTGTGCGGCAGAGTGCACGCCTGCTCTGCCTCCTGCCGGAGGGCGCCGCGGGCTGGCGGCTCGCCTGGGGTTCCCTGTGGGAGGGGGCAGTCTCGCAGCCTCGGACAGGCTTGAGGTTTGGACACTTGTCTGCTCGAAATCTTTTTCTTTTTCCTAAAAAGATAACACTTCAGTACCAAAAGAAGGTAAGGTGGCAGCCTTATTTTAATAGTTTTAAATGTTGGTGATAACCCTGATTATATAAAAGACACACACACACACACACACACACACACACATCTAGTGGTCTCTAAAGATTTGTTTACTTTGTGTGTTTTGTTTTACTGTATTAAGAACGTGTCCCTTCTCCTGGAGTCAGCAGGACATGCCCCCTCCTAGTCGCACATGTGGCCGCGGCGCGTCGGCTTCCTGTGCAGGTGACGGAGCCGGGAGCTCGCGGGCACAGCCGCCGCTCTGCGTGCCGGGCTCCAAGCGAGGCAGCTCCCGGCTCTGCTATTCCCACAAGCTAGAGAGATTTTCAGAGCTACACTTTTGAGTAAAAAGCCTTATTAAAAGGAAAACGTGATTAATATATTTGTCTATTCCTTTTCTTTGGAGTGGAACAGGCTCTTTGAATCGAGCTTTTATGCAAACCACCCTACCCCCCCACCACCCACCAGGCAGGGTTTTCGCCTGTGCTGGGCCGTGCACGGTGCCGGCTCCGGGGAGTCGGAGAGGATGGAGGCCTTGCTCAGCCCCTCAGCAGCGGCTGGGTGGTGCTCTGCAGGGGGCGGGCCCCACGGCAGCAGGAACCCAAGAAGAGGAGCTCTTAGTTTTAGGGGAAGTAAAGGCTTGGGGTGGTGTCCTGCTGGGGGAGGGGGACACCCACCCCCAGAAAGCCACCAGTTTTCAGACTGCGGATTGCTGGTCTGAACTGTGTATTTTCGCATCAACTCTGATGGTCTGTTAAGCACATGACTTAATTGGAAAATGCTGTGTCAGTTCTTCACCCAGCCGTCTTGGTGAACATCGCTGCCACAGATTGTCTCAGGATGATCTGCCTCTCCTCGGAGAAGACACGCGGATACCTGGCTTCACCACATGCAGACCCGCTTCTGGAGCTGCGCAGGGCAGGGAACCTGCTCGTCCGACCCGCGTGGCCACTTTCATCTCTGTGGGGTCGGCAGCCCTGTCGTGCGATGCCTTAACTTGCCTGCGTTGTTGGTGTGCGCGCAGTTCGAACCCATCCATGCCAGGACGCCTGTGGCTGCCAGCAGCCTCTCGGCCTGAGGTCCTTCACTAAACGTGGGAAGTAGGCCCTGGCTGGCGTGGCTCATCGGTGAGAGCGTCAGCCCGGGCACCAGAGGGTCGCAGGTTCGATTCCTGGTCAGGGCACATGTGGGAAGCAACCGATCAATACGTCTCTCGCACATCAATGTTTCTTTCTCTCTCCCCCACTTCCTCCCTCCCTTCTACTCTCTCTGAAAATCAGTGGTAAAAATACCCTTGGGTGAGGATTAACAAAAAAAAGGGAAAATAGTCTGTGACTTACATACTAATTTCCAAAAGGCGCTGGGCGCCAGGGCTGGCAGAGAAGCCCCGCGACCAGAGCTTTCACGATGAATTTGTCCGTAGATGTATTTGCTCATTGGAGTGAAAGTTTTCGAGTCTAATGTTAAGTATGTCCTTTGAAAAAACACACACAGATCACACATAAAATAACATCATGGGATGGGATAGTTTTGAAAATACTCCCTGTAAAAGCTTCCGAGTTTGGAGCTAAGAGCCCTGTGCGGAGCCGGGTCAAATTCACGAGCTCACCGCCCCGCCAGGATGTTGCAGCGTCCACCTCCGGCCCCCGTTTCTGCACTGTAAGATGAAAGAATGTGCTAAATTATCCGAAGTCCCTGCTTAGAAACTTGGAGACGCTTCTGTTCATGAATTCCCCGTCCACGGGGTCTGTTAAGGTTATTGCATCAGTGTGAGTGGAAGTTCGGCTCCCAGTGAGGGCAGTCCGAGTCCGTGCCGTGGAACGGCGTTCGTGAGAACAGAACTCGTGTCAGGAGGTGGAGTGTATGCCGGATGCACTGCTCCTTGAGTGGGTGGAAGGCCCTGCCAGGGTTGCTGAGGGCGGGCGAGACCAGGGCACGTGCCCCCTCTGCCCCGGGCAGCGCCGCAGCTCTCGGGCTCGGCCCAGGGGCCACACCGGGCGTGTGGAAACGGAGGAGACGTGACCACATCAGCACAGAGGGGCCCTCACTGCCATCTGCCATGGAAATGGACCTTTCTCCCAAACCGTTTGGAAGTTCACTCTCTGTCCTTAATGCGTTCGGAGCGGGGCTGTTCAGACTGGCCATTGGAAGGACGCCAGCTCCGCTGTTTTGTTAGCCCTGTGTGTGATTTGTAAACAGTTCGCAGTTAGGTTTCACCAGCCCAGAAAAGCCACTCCGCTTTCCACGCAAGCTGGCGAGTGATGCGTGACTTCCCCCCTAGTTTCCAGGACAAGCTCACAAGAAGATGTATCTACTTATTTTTGAGAGATGGGGTGAGACATTAAAAACAGTCTCAGGTTCCCAATACACGTGATTATGCTCAATCCTTCACTTAAAAATGAGGGAATTCATTTTCTCTAAATCGTCACTGTATTTTTTGGTGGTTGATGTGTACATACTAGAGTGAAAGATGTAAAAGAAAGAAAGAACGAAACCCAACCCAAAGGAAGTACCCGTGACGAGGTCAGAACCAGAATAGTACTGCCTGTAAAGAAAGTCCGGGGATCCCATGGTGCTGGTTTGGGGGTGAGTTTCAGAAAGCCCGGAACGTCAAAGTGTTGACTGTAACTGTGGCTATGGTGAAATGCTTTTTATGTGATATATTGTGCTATGTTCATGTTATTATTGATCTGGCAAAATGAACGTGTTCAATAGTGTATAGCCGATAACCCGACCCGAGGTTTTGGCTCGCTTTTATTTAAATGTCAGTTTCAGGTATGGTTAGAGTAGAATCTGATAACCTTGTTAGGGGTCACCCTCCTGTTTAATCAGCAGCACCTCATCTAATATATTCCTAAAACTCTGTGTGTAAATTGAATTTGAGGCACTCAAATTGTATTTAAAAGTACTGCTGAATTTGTTATTTAAATGAAGCTGTTCAGGGCTGGTCCTGGGTGTGCCTGGGCTAGAGGGAGGAAGCTCAGCAGGGACCTGAGCCCTGTTGTCCTGTATTTATGGAGCTGTCATGAAGGAGGGAGGGGCCCCACGCATGTGGGAGGGCAGGTCTCAGCCGAGAGGGATTGCTTTCTACAGCACTGGCCGATTGGGGGGGGGGCTGTACTGCTCCCAGGGCGTGGACAGGCGCTGGCCACCGGAGGGGCAGCTGACGTGAGGATACTCTCAATCCGGACACTTTCTGCTCGATTCGCGGAGGGTGGGAGGCAGGCCACTGGCTGAGGGCACATCCAATCTGCCCTGCCCTGCCCTCTCCTGGCCTGGCTGAGGCACCGGGCCAGTCCCTGAGGGTTTGCTTCCTTCCTCTAGGGACAGGAGGGCCGAAGGAGATAGCGCATGTAAGAGTGTCCGGCCCCATGCCTGCTGCGCTAAGCATTCAGTACGTGTTGGCCGTGAGTGTTTCTCCGTCCGGGCCGCTCCGGGAGGCAGGGAATCTTAGTGGGCCGGGGAGCACTATCATCCCTGCTGGGCAGGCAAGCAGCCCACATCTGTGCGTCCATGCGGGAACTTCAGGCCCAGGCCCAGGCCCAGCAAACAGCTGTGTTCTGGGGCAGTGCTAGTTCTGTGGGCAGATCAGGTTCCTAAGGAGCCCTTGCCGCCCTGGAGGTGGGGAGGCTGCCATTCGCACACAACCTTGACCAGAGCAGAGCGCGCCACGTTTCATGATGGCCCCGGGCCTCGGGGAAAGGGGTGGGGCAGAGGAGGTGGCAGCTGGCATCCAGGGGTTATTCGTGAGCAGTGGAGTGGTCTAGCGTGTACAGGAGGGCCAGGGAGGGCAGGCCTCTGGGAGAAGTCCTGCAGGAGACCATCCGAACGCCACGTGCCGGCAGTGGCCGGGACGACAGCGCCTGTTGCGGTTTGCCCGGTAAACCGCTGGTGGAGCCGGGGAAAGCTAGGATTGCCGGCTCCTTCCAGCGCCGACACCACAGTGGCTGTTTCCCTTCGGAACCGACACAAAGGCGGAGAAGGCTGTGTCGATGGAGCGCCTCGCATGATCTGTGGAGTTGGGAAAGGTACCTCTGCTTGTCACACATCAGCTCAGACGCCAAGACTGACAGTCTCTAGCGTTCTCCTCCCACGTGGACCACTGTCCTTGGCCTGGACCTGGCACACTCGGGTGCGCGTGTATCCCATGTGGTGTACATATGGACACCTGTACATGGACACACAGGTGTGTGAGCTCTCAAAGCTCCCGTTCTCCACGTGAGTTACCAGGGAGGTTACTCGCCTGCTTTAGGGCGAGCTCTTCGGCACAGGTGTGTTTGGACCCCGCTGCAGGGGAGGCGCCCTGTGTCCCCACTGTCTCGTCTGCACACCTGGCTCGGGGTGTGCTCCGAAGAGGTTTCGCCATGGACGGGACCGTCACAGCAGTGGGAGACCCCCCACTAGAGCTGTGGGTTACACCCCTCCAGAGTCATTAAAATCCCTCTTCTTCCCTCCGCCTACTGTTGTCCTGGTCCCGCTTGTGTGTCCTGACCCCTCAAGAATGCTGTAGGAGCAAAGGGTCAGATTGTGGCTGAACCTCCAGCCCCCTTTTCGTCTTAGCAACGCCTGGCTCTGAGGGAGCTGCTTGTAGGTCACAGGATCTGCTGAAATGCCCCCAAAGCGGCTGAGGCCACTCCAGGTCGGCTGCCATCGGGGCAGCTTGTCCGTGGCCCGTTTCCTCGTGTCACGCACAGTCCCACTGTCCCCGCAAGCTCCCTGGCTCGACTCCAGTGGTATTCACGCAGACTTGCTTTTGTTCTTTTCTTTATTGATTTTAGAGGGAGAGGAAGGGGGGAGGGGAGAGAACATGGATTGGCCGCCTCCTGCATGCCCCCACTGAGGATCGGGCCCACAACCTGGGCATGTGCCCTGACTTGGAATCGAACCAGCGACCTCTTGGTGCATGAGGCCAACGCTCAACCACTGAGCCACACCAGCCGGGCAGACTTGCTTTTCTAAAAGACATGGAGCTGCCGAATTAATTCTGTGTAAATGACTCCTGGAACTCCAAGGTCCTTTAAGAGAATTAGCATTTGAACCTACAATTAGGATTTTAGCCCAGAGAAGAAACTTCTCGTCCAGAAACCTGGATCTTTTTTTTTCCAATCCTCACCCGAGGACATTTTTGCATTTATCCTGAGATAGAGCAGAAGGGAGAGAGGGAGGAGAGAGAGAGAGACACATTGACTGATCACCACCCACTCGACCCCACCGGGGCTGGGGACAAACCGCAACCGAGGTACGTGCCTTTAGTGGGAACCAAACCGGCCAGGGCCAGAAACCTGGGCTTTGAAATCAGGCCGCAGTGGTGTAGGATCCTGGCCCACACCGCCCTCTCCACCAGGCTCTGATCCACAGCCCGTTTCTTCTTCGCGAAGGG